CTTCATTCAAGAAGGCATTTTTAACATCGAACTGGTGTAGGGGCTAGTCAAAAGTAGTTGCTAGAGATAGTAAAACCTTGATTGAAGTCATCTTAGCTACAGGAGCAAATGTCTCAAGATAGTCAATGTCATACATTTGGGTGTAACCCTTAGCAACCAACCGAGCCTTAAACCTCTCAACAGAGCCATTAGAGTGATATTTAATAGTAAACACCCATTTACAACCCACTGGTTCCTTCCCTTCCGGCAAGTCCACAATATCCTAGGTATGATTCTTATGCAATGCATCAAGTTCAGTCGTCATAGCTTCCCTCCACTCAACTTGAGATAAAGCTTCCGGTATAGACCTAGGTATCACATGGGAAGAAACAGAGGCAAGAAAAAAGTAGTAGGAAGGGGAGAAAAGGCTATAAGATAAGTGTTTGGAGATACAATGGGCTGTACACTTCCGCTTGCCCTTGCGAAGAGCAATAGGAAGGTCAAGGTCTGGAACAGTCTGAGATGGGTCAGTAGAGGGCTGACCTGTTTCCTCAGGAATGATGGGAGTGGCAAGATGCTCTTCTGAAGGAGTGGAAACAACCTACACATGTCTGAATCTCTACCTTTGGTACCACCTTTGGAGAGCAGGAGTAGAAGCAGGAGGGGGAGCAGGGACATCAGGGGTAGGTCCAGTGGAAGACGTGGACACCCCATGATCGAACTCACAAGGGATGGGAAGAGGAACAGCTGGAGACATAGCCAAGTACTCATCAGATTTCTCCCCCTCAGGAGGAATACTAAAGAAGGGAGTCAACTCTGCAAAGGTGACATCCCAAGATACAAAGCGGGTGCCACGAACTGGATCAAAACAGCAACAACCCTTTTGTGTGGAAGCATATCCCAAAAACACGCACTTATGAGCCTTAGGTTCAAACTTGTGCCTTTGGTGACTATGAATATGCACATAGCAAGTACACCCAAACACACAGAGAGGAAGAGAAAAGAGATCCTCATCCGGGAAGAGAAGACTAAAAGGGGTTTTAAAGCCAAGGACCCGGGAGGGCATACGGTTGATCAGAAAGGTAGCAGTAAGAACAGCATCTCCCCAAAACTTTATAGGAACATGGGATGCAAATAAGAGGGATCTGGCCACTTCAACCACATGCCTGTTCTTTCTTTCCGCCACCCCGTTTTGTTGTGGAGTGTAGGAACAAGAACTTTGATGAATAACCCCAAAAGTTTCAAGATAGGTGGAGAGGGTTCTCTCAAAATACTCCTCAACATTGTCAGAGCAGAATATTTTGATACGGGTATTAAACTGGGTGAGGATGAGTTCATGAAAATTTTTCACAATAGCTAGTACTTCATCCCTGGATTTCATGAGATAAATACAAGTGTAACGTGAATAATCATCAATAAAAAGGATAAAGTACCTGTAACCCCCCATGGTTGGCATGTGATATGGCC